GCAAAGCCGACTGATCCTGATGAGCTCATTAGGCTTATTGAAGATTACAACAGTTTGGGTGGGTAAATCTTTTTTCGCAGTTTCAAAGTATCATCTCACAAACATTAATCGACTTTTTTCTAGAAGGACCTCGATATCTTGAAGGAAAAGTTTCCGGTGCTGTATTCAGTGATGAAAAGGATATGGAAGAGATGAGAGTTTATGGAGAGGTGACTATCTGATCCTATTTAATACATCAAAAAAATTAGAGAATACATAGTTAAGAGCTCCGAACTCTCTTTTCCTACGACACCACTACTTTCAGGTCTTCAAAAATTTCGCATGGTCAAATCCGCTCTGGCCAAAGCTCTTCCCCGGTGTTCGAAAAATGGAGGCTGAAGTAGTTCGCATGTGTTGCACGCTAATGCACGGAGATGAAGAAAGCTGTGGAACGGTACGATCCGATTTCGCTCCTTTTATTCCGTATTTTACCAGATGAATGGAGTTATAAAATGAAATATATTTTTTGTTCCTCTTAGCTTAACCTGTGGATCCTCGCCTGCAACAGCATTCCAAGTAATCTGAAAGCGTGTATGCAGCGACACCAAGTTACTCTACATTCCAACTTTATTTCTCGACTTTTCCTCTGCTCGTGCATTTTTCAGTAAGCTATGATAGAAAAGAAAGAGGAGCTTTAGTTTTAAGATAGAAATCCTTGTGAGATTATGCTTGGGCTGGCAGACAAAACAGCACGCGCGGTCAGGCTTAGAGGAACAGTTTGTGTACTGCATTGGTTAGAGTTCAAACTTTTATACCAATGAAATTTTATTCCAACTCTTCTCCTTTTCTCTCGTAACGCATGCGTAGCTTTGCTAAAACTTTAATTTCAAATGTTGGCACTGAAAGCTGAAGAGATCTCTGTAGGCGATGCTGACTAGAGGCTCGTTTGCTGACAGAAAAGCTTGCCAACAATGTTTATTTGATCCTTTGTTCTTGTATAATTCATCAGAATTCTTTGTTTCAAGGTTTACCCCTGTTCAGATGTCAACCGGTGGTACGATATCAATTCTCCTGGCTTGTCTTGCT